CAACTCTCTTCATCCGGGATTTTCACACTTGATCCAACCATTTTATATATGGAATCAACAATTGAAAGCATCTCATCACGTGTGATAAAACCGTCATTATCGAGATCATACAACTTGAATGCCCCTGAAAAGAGTTGTTGAGGAAGCCCGAGCCAATCAGGATATGCATGAAGTACATATGTGATAGAAAAAAACCTACAATGTAATTTTTCATCAAGATTCCCCCGTGACGTTATGGACAAGGCTCGAATGAATTCGTGGAATTCGATCGCTCCATCCTGAATTATGTTGCTTGTGATGCTGGGATTCGGAGTAATTGAGTTAGATGAAGGCCAGAACCAAATTTCGCTCATCCGCAACCCCACAGGCGGCACATCTTGTGCTAGTGAAACCAAAAAACATCAAACAACATACCTTATTCTCGTCGAATACCCGCTAAACGAAAGAGCAACTCCTGATCGTCCCCTTGTGGAAAGAATTGTTTGTAGATCTTTTGGAAGCCCTGCAATTAGCACATTCAGGGTAATAATTGGGCTAGTTAGCTGTTGACAATAAATGTGAGAGACACGTAGATAATGACGGTTCATGGAGAGTTTTCTTAACTATAGCTAACTCTAGGAGGCTCAGTAATTTTTGCAGGGAATGGTGCGAGCCGACGTAGGCGCTGCCACCGCTAATTCATGTGGGCCGTGGCACTTAAATGTCATGGATGACACACTACGCTCAAAGTTTACCGGGTCACAGCATTTCTTGGCCTTCACAGCGGAGAAGGTAACGAGCCGGCATAACACGCGGCGTTTGTGTAAAGTCTCTGAATACGACATCTATCTAAGATGTTCTCAGGACGATCACCCCCGAAATAACATTATTTCGGTTCGGGCAACCGTTCGTTTAGTTTTCTTTGAGCGCCTTGATCTGAATATGCTGCTCTCCCCATATCTGAATGAGACATGCCTCTCACTACTCCCCCTCGAATACAATAAATCCCGTTGAGATTTCCACAACGATGCGTGCGCTGGCACTTATGAGGGAACTGTTACCTGCTTTGGCCTGGCATGCGACGATGGAGAAAAACTGTTGATTCTGGGTGCTGTTGCAGCGGTCCAATGATTAGCGGTGGAGCGCCATTTTACTGCCGCTGTTTTAACACTCATCTTCGGTCGTATTTTATTACCGTGACCATTTCTTTCCTTTCACTACCCCTTCTCTTCCTCACTCACTCCATTCTTTGTGACAACCTCAGTCCCCTTACTGCGCCGTCGCCTTTCGATTGTGTTACTGGTGAAATTCAGGGTAATAATTGGGCTAGTTAGCTGTTGACAATAAATGTGAGAGACACGTAGATAATGACGGTTCATGACGAGGTTTTCTTACTTAGCAACTCTAGGAGCTCAGTAATTCTTCAGGGAATGCGACCGACGGCGCTCCACCGCTAATCATTGGGCCGCTGCAATATATCATGGATCACACCTACCTCAAAGTTACTGTCACACATTCTTGGCCTTCACAAGCACGGCATACCACCGCGTTGTGTAAAGTCTCTGCTGAATACGACATCTCCCTAAGATGTTCTCAGGACGATCACCCCGATGGCGTGCCCCGACCACTCCATGAACGAAATGTTACTCTTTGCCTGGCATCCGACGAATGGCAGGAAAACTTTGATTCTGGATGCTGTTGCAGCGGTCCAATGATTAGCGGTGGAGCGCCATTTTACTGCCGCTCGCTTCGCGGACTATGAATGCTGTTTTAACACTCATCTTCGGTCGTATTTTATTACCGTGACCATTTCTTTCCTTTCACTACCCCTTCTCTTCCTCACTCGCTCCATTCTTTGTGACAACCTCAGTCCCCTTACTGCGCCGTCGCCTTTTCCGTTGTTTACTGGGAATCATACGCGGATTAGAATCGCACACAATCCTGTCCGTCTCAATCCCGAGCGTCTTATTCAACTAATTAAATAAGGCAGGATACTCCTACACATCCATGTTAATATATGAACATTCATTTTATTATTTTGCCTTAGAAAACTAAGAGTGATGAAAATAATCAAAGCGATTTACACTTTGCACGAGCTATGCGAACTGCTGGCTTGCTTTGTGAAAAATGGCCACTACTGGTGCACGAAACAGCCCATCAATCACAGGCGCCAGCAGCCGAAAACGTCTATCATCGGAATCGGAATAGTAGATCAAGAAGTTGAGTTTATTCAATGTCATGAATCAGTGTAACACATGCACTCATCATGAACCACAATAAAGCCCCAAAATACAAGTCCTGGGGCCATTTAGCGATCGTTAGATCACTTGTTTGTTTTAAGTACAAGAATGCGCCAGATAATGACTTTTCTCGTAGAAAAACGTAAAAATAAAAAAAAACTCGATGAAACAAGCAAATTTGAATCCTACAAAAAACATTGATCCAGCAACCAATTGATACTACGAAATCCCTGCTCTTCACTATTCAGTCGTTAACCGAGGTCAGTCAGGGTGTGTCAGCGGGACGTGAGTTTTGGCGCGGCTTCAGCCCGTTTTCCATCGGCCGCTGGGGCTTCAAACGTTGAATGAGTGGTGGAAGATTGGTTGGCGTCGCGCCGAAACCCGAGCCCCACTGACACGCCCCGACTGACTTCGATGAATCACATTTCTGATGAGTGCTTTTTGTTCTCTTACTCTACTTGGACCTATCACTTTCATTGCTGTATTAGTACATATTATCACTGGTAAGCGAAGCGAGTAAACGAATCCTGAACTGAAGTGAACGAGTAAGGAAACTTACAGCTTCAGTGAGCATGCCGTTGGGGCAGTCTCGTACGAAGCCCTTGTACCATTGCTTGATCTCTTTTTCGGTGACTGAAAAACAAGGGATTGAATAGGGTAGTCCAGATGAATTATTGCTCAAACTACGGCGAAGTTTGAGTAATGGCATGTAAGGCATCTTCACAAGTGCACGGTTTTTATTTTCAATTCTTTTTGAACTTATTATTTCTTTATTGACTCTTGCGAACAATATAAATAAAGCTAGCGCTGCAGACAAATTTGCAAAAAGGAAAGACGTAGGCACATAAAAACAAATGACAATCTAATTAGATGCGCACATCTGACCAAGAATACAGCGTGCACACAGAATAGACAAAGCGAAATAGAATAATCGTGATTGGCACTGAGCCAGGAAATATGTCGCGCGACCCTAAACAGCCAGGCAGGTCCAAGGGTTCGGAGGTAAAGTTTTGGATGGAGTCTCCGGGCCAAGCGAGGAGATACTCTTGAATCGGATGTAGTCCTGTCTAAGAGGACGAAAATACTGGACTGTGCATAGGGCGACCCCCCCCCCCTCCTGTTTCACAGAGTATAGTAATCAATGGGCGAAACGTTTATTCTCTGAAGGCAAGTGGCACGATAAATCAGCAAGGCGTACAGGATCGATACGCCAAGCACGAAAGAGTTTTGTTCCACTTAGCAAGCGCTGGGGCCTTTCCCCATCCAAGGGCATCATTATACCAAGGTGCAACATGCCGGCCCAGCCACCGCAACTGCCCGCCCACAAATGGCCGTACAGTCACATGACGCCGGTACATTATCGCTTCATTAATGAAGTACATTGATGTGAAAAGTTGCTACATGGAAATATGAATGTATGCGTGCAACCATATCTATGAAAGTTGTTGGCACGATTCCAACGGAAAATTCGTCCAAAAATGCCTGTATAATCCAGAGTAGAACCAAGGCTTTTTTCGAAGATTTCAGGCCGTTTGACTTTGCTTCTCGTCATTTTCACCATTATAGAGCATCCCTGCTACAATATCCAGCAAGTTCTTAATTATAGTGCTTTATGCCTACAACGCAAAATTTCAAGTTAGAAAAAAAGGCCGTTACTTATGGGCCAACCCAATATTTCAAAAAAGAACATTCAAGTTCACACAATGATCTTAAATCTGCCCTCGAGCTCAACAGTGACACTCAGACTACATAGTTGCAGCCCTTGAAGGCAGTTGGCACGACATTTTGTTAATTGGCCTCAAATGCTAGCAGGGCCATATAGTGGGAAAATGGCGAAAAAACGAAGTGAAACGGTCAAAAACCTGCGAAGAAAAACCTTCGTCCTTAATGACAATTTCGGACGAGTTTTCCTGTAGACATCTTGCCAATAACCGCTACGGTGGGTACGGCTGCATGTATGTTCCCATATATCCATGCAGCATCACGGCCGCTTCATACCAATCCCTTCGCTTCATAATTTTAGCAAATGAATCGATTAGAGCGTCAGGAACGGTCGTCCATTTGTGGGCGGGCGGGCGTGGCGGGCGTTTGGGTCGGTATGTTGTGGCTTGATAGGGCCCTTATAAGGGCACCTCCCTTGGAAAAGGCATTATGCAGCGCCTGCTCAGGGTCGCGGAATTCCGTCCTGCCAGGCGTATTAATCCTACTCGTCTTGGGGGGAACTATCGTACCAACTGCCTTTAAGTGTAGTGAAACCTCTTCCGACGATGGAACTCTCCCTGTCCTTGAACATACGCTACTGTGTGGAATAAGACGTGGTCGCAAAATGCACGAACAGTCGTGACTGGAAGTGGAATGCATGGCGCATTTCGAAGAAGGATCGATTGATTGCAGAAGTCTTCTGAGATTTTCGTTACATGTTCCACCCTTCTCAATCAGACCAGAAACGGTTCTGCTTCTCATTACAGTACAGCTCAATTCCTAAAAATCCACAGTTCTGGACTACGGACCAGCTTGGCATGAACCATTGCACTGTTACAAATTCTCTTGATTTGATGAATTAAAAAAATCGAATCGAAAAAGCAGATCGTTCGTGTACGACGAGTTCAGTGATGTATGACACATCCAATTTGGTTGAGTAGGTCATTCATTAGGTTGCACTCGAAAACAAGTAGAGGTTTTGTTTTTTGACCTCTGGGTAACTTGGGGCCTGATGGGTAACTAGCGATCCGCCGCTGAAACTTTAGTGGAACCAGCACTGGCTCAAATTCTTCCCTACTGCTCTTTTACATTATACAGAGTGCCTCCTGCAGCACTTCGAGACTTGTTGCTGACTAACCAGAAGATTCAGAAAACCTCACAGGACAGTTCCATTGTCGGTGAAAGACAGAAAGCCGTGCTACCCTTCACCCCTTCAAAAAGATCCCCATTCTCACGAGCGGTCGAAGTATCCGCAGATTCCTCAGAGTCCGCATAGCCCTTCAAGATCGCGAAGCTCCCCCTCTTCTCCACCCCCCCCCCCCCCTCCCCTCCCGCCCACGACGCCCTCCCTTCCCGCCGCTTCCGTCACCACGATAACTCTCTAATAGTCCATGCACTAAACATCAGTGGTTTGATATTCAGCTGCTTACCAGTGCAAAGATTCAAAATGTTGTGCAACACAGAAAAAGTTCAAGCAGTTATTGAAGAGAGATCGGGAGGTTGAGAAAAAGGCCAAGGTGCCTGTGCAACCACTTCACCATGTGGAAAATCGGCACTATTTACCCTTTACTGCCCCAATCTTCCGAAAACAGGCCAGTTTCTCACCAACTTTTTTCTGTATTGGCAGAATTGGCTGAAAATTTGTTTGCTAGGGTAGTCTCACCCCCTGAACACGAATATCATATCCGCTCGGCCCAGGACCTCTTGGCGCCCAAGCTACAGGCGCTGGCTCCAAAAAACCCCAAAATCACCGCACGCTGTGCCAGTGGGCGCCAGAAGTTTCGGGCCTGAGCGAATGTGATAATTCGTATTAGGAGGTAAAACTAATCCCAAGGAGACAACATTTGAGCAAAACCTGTCCACGGAGAAAAAAGTCGGTCAAAAAGCGGCTCAATTCTGAATGGTTGGGGCAGTAAAGGGTAAATAGTGCCGGAAAATCTACTGGAGCCTCGGGACAAAAGAAGTCCTAAAACTGAGGAAGTCCTAGGTTAATGGAAGGTCAACCATGATTCTAAAAAGAGCATTTTCTTCATCTGTTTTCTTTCAGGTTGGATTCCTTGCTCTCGGCATGCCCATGAAGCTCTCCTTGGAATGTGCCACCTGCACTGCTGTTCGAAGACCAATACAACGACTTGTGGGGGACCAGCTAGTGCTGCTTCTGAAATCCCAAGACGAGTAGGATTAATACGCCTGGCAGGACGGAATTCCGCGCCCCTGAGCAGGCGCTGCGTAGCGCCTTTTCCAAGGGAGGTACCCTTATAAGGCCCTATCAAGCTGCAACATACCGACCCGCCCGCCCACAAATGGACGACCGTACCTGATGCTCGTAATGCTTCTTTGCGGAGTAAAATATGAAGCGAAGGGACTGACCGGCCGCAGTGCCGCATGGATATATGTGTGCATAAGTGCAACTGTATCTATCGTAGCCGTTATTGGCGCTATGCCTACGGGTAACTCGTCCGAAAATTCTCCGCAAGTCACGAATGCTAGGTTTGACCGTTTCACTTCATTTTTTCGCCATTTCCCCCCACTATATTGCATTGCATCTTAGACCGAGTACCATATTACCGTGCCA